TCTCTGCCGCCGCCGCCGACAGCCGAGGACCACACCTCCTGCAAGGGGGGGACGGGAGATGGAGGCAGCGGGGCTGGGGAGGGTCCCCTGGGCTTCTCCCCACCGTCTCCCACCATGCAGACCGGGCGCTGCCAAAAAGTCACGCCTCTCACTCACGTCCGACAGAAGGAGATGAGCTTCTTCAGCTTGTTCAGCTCAATCTCACCCTCCACGGCCTGGGTCTGCGTTAAGGCGCTCACGTGTAAGGACATCACGTGCTTGGCCAGCGTCTAGGAGACCAGAGGGCAGTCAGGCAGCTGGAAAACACACCGACTCCCCCTCGCAAAAAATGGGGCACCAGGAGTCCCAGCTGCACCCACGTGCCTTGACCCACCATGTCTCGCTCCTCGTTGTGCTCATCCTTGACGATGAAGATCATGTCAAATCGGGACAGGATGGTGGGCATAAAATCAATGTTCTCCTCACCCTTGGTCTCATCCCAGCGCCCGAAGACTGAGTTGGCCGCTGCCAGCACTGAGCAGCGGGAGTTGAGCGTGGTTGTGATTCCTGCCTGTGGTGGGAAGGAGAAATGGATGGGATCAAGGCCACGTCCATGTCACAGCAGGGCTAGAAGGCTATTAACTCATTGTGAAAGGTCCAAAGCAGTTTGCATTTAAATAAAACCCCTTAAGCAGCACCCCATTGCTCTGTAATGGTTCCACACTGGAGAGAGGTCAGCACAGAAGCTACATGGGGCTGGACCCATATGGCCTTGTGGAGGAGGACTGGCTTCAGCTGAGACTTGAGTACTGAATAACTTCACTCAAAACCTCATGTCAAGGGCAAGGATATACAAGACCCTATCACCAAGTTTGCAACCTGAGACAGAAACTGCGCAGCTGGGGCTGAGTTCCCCTGGGCAACCCCAGGAGCAAAATGCAGGTTTGCAGGTAGTAGGGCAAGAGCAACCAGCAAGGAAAAGCCATGGTGGGTGCTCTGGTATCAGGGACTGAACAGCTAAGGGGTGAGCCAGAGCGACCAGGAGGGAGCAGAGGTGCTACAGGAAAACATTGAGCTGAGGAAATGAAGATAAACTCTGACTTGAGAGAAGACCTGGCACCAGGATGTCAAGCAGTTTCTGTAGATCTTCTGAGGGTGTGGGAGAGCAGTGGGAAGGAAGAAAAAGAAGTGACATCAGCAGAACTACTACATCTAGAGGGGCAGAGGACAGGCAGAGCAGAGGGAGCTTGCTTCAGTCCAGTTCAGGCTGCCTGCGAGAAGACAACCCAATGCCTACAGGCAGGACTGACAGGACTCAGATCAGAGAACCACTAACCATCAAAACCACTGCCTGGACAAGCCACTCTAAAATGGGCAATTCTAGCAAAAAGTGGCATGACCACTGGTTCCTGGGCTCTCAGAAACCAAACGGCAAGTGCCGCTCCCACCCCGGGGCGATACACGCCCGCAGCTCACCTTAGCAATGGAGATGGTCTGCTGCTCCATGGCCTCGTGGATGGCCACGCGGTCATCCTCCCGCATCTTCTCATCCGAGGTGGGGAGAAAAAAAAAAAAGTCACCATCAGTCACCTCCACCAGGCTTCAGCTACACACCCACCGATGCTGAACCCCGAGGTAAAGCTCTGCGAGGACCTCTGCTCAAGAGTGTGGGATGCAACCAGAACTTCCCCGCGGCCCCATCCCCGAAAGACAGCGGGGCAGCCTCAGGAGAGTTGCCCTTTCTCCTGCAGCTCTGGGCTCTGCCAGGAGCAGCTGGCAGCCCAAGGGCTCTGGTCCCCGCTCCCACGCGGGCAGCCCCGTGGGTACCTTGTCGAACTCATCGATGCACACCACTCCGCCGTCGGCCAGCACCATGGCTCCTCCCTCCATGAAGAACCTCCTGGAGGAAGGGTCGCGGATCACGGAGGCCGTCAAGCCGGCAGCGCTGCTGCCTTTCCCTGAGGTGTACACCTACAGGTGTGCGGGACAAGGAAGGGGACAGCACGTCAGCCACTGCGGGACCCTGGAGCCCGCTGCTCCAGCTGGGGAGAGGACAAAAAGAAGGACAAAGAACCCCCAGCGCTGCAAAATCCAGAGCTGCTGGAGGAAACACCAGGACCTCCATCCAGGAAAGCCCCTCAGCACATGCCAAAAGCAGACCTGCTGTGTACAGGGCAAGGCTTTTGCCTAGTCCCAGGCCTCGGACTGAGCAGCTGTGATGCACCGGAGGGCTGGCAGACACACAAATACAGGTATTAAGCACGGAACAAGGAGTGATTCATTGTTTGGTGGACTGCTGCATTAGCTTTGTTTTCCTCCCAAGGGAACAATGAAGTCAGAGGCTGAGTTTAATAGAGACTACAAGAAAACACAGCTGAAAATATAATTTCATGCCTGGGCTCAGCCTGGAGGTCTGTGCCTGAGACACAGTCAACTTCATTTGTCCTGACCAGCCAGCCTCTCCACTGATCAAGCCTCAACAATAAACAACAGCACCAGTCATGTCTTTGGACATCTGCAAATAGCCTGGGTCCTATCCCAACGAAAGGCATTACCTGCTTCCCCCTCTCTCCCTCATGCCCTGTCCTGCACCCACCCCATCTCTTCCAGGTTAGCACCAGAAGTGGCAGCTCGCACCTCTGCCAGCCAGCCCAGCTGTGGATGCATGGGCAGGTATCTGCTGTGACCACCGTCTGGTCTTTGGTGCTGTGCAAGGGGCAGGAGGACAAAATGAGCCGCACTACAACCAGGCACCTCAAGCCACCTACCCCAATGGGCGAACACTTCTCAACAAACTTCAGCAGCTGGGATTTGGCCGTGCCGGGGTCACCCAGCATCAGTAAGTTGATGTCTCCTCTGCGGGTCAGCCCATCTGGGAGCCTGGAGTGACAGGGTGGGAGGAAGACAGGGAAGAGAGATGGTGAGCCTTCATTTTGATAACCAGGCACTGCCAGCAAGTAGCAGGTGGTTGGTAGCATTGCCAGAAGGCTGTACAAGGGCTTTGTGCCACGAATGACACCCCTGCCACCACTGTCTCTCCACCAGGCTGACTCTTCCCCACCTCTTGCGAGAACCTCCAAATAAGAGGCAGGCAATGGCCTTCTTGATGTCGGTGCTACCATAGATGGAGGGCGCGATGCTCTTGGCGATTGTCTCATAGATGTTGGGCATGGCAGCAAGGCGACGAAGTTCCTCCTCTTCTTGAGGGGTCACTGAGCCAGCAAAGCTGTGTCCTGCACAGTGACGAGGAGAATGACACAACAGTGAACAAATTGATATTTTAAATGACACTACTCCCCCCATACCCGCTACCACCAAAATCCCTTCTTGAAAATCATGCTGAGTGCCACCAGACATGAAGGTGGAGAGGGCAGGCATTTGCCATCCCAGCAAGACAGGCTCTGTCCTTAGAGGCTGGTAGGCAAAAGCAAGCATCTTGGGCAAAGCAGCTCTGGAGGAACCAGAGGGAAAATTACAGTCAAGACCACGTTTTAAATACATAGCTCAGTTTTAACCATCGACTTTAGCCCAGATCCTCAGGGATGGCTTGGCAGATTCCCACCAAGATCAATAAGATAAAAGCACTTAAATACCCTGGAGGACTCAGGCTGAAGCCTCCTCATTTAACATCACCAAGTCATATAGGACACGACTATAGAGCATTCAGGGCAAGTTAGACCCCTGGACTGGCTAGAACCTTCTGCTATACAAGCAGCAGAGGAGGACCCAGGCTGTGACTTCATACAGTCCTTGCTGAGGGACCACCTTGTCCAGGAAGGGGGCTCTCTCAACACCAGGCTACCAACACAGTCCACACGGGCACCAAAAGCAGCCCTCACCTGACCCCTCCACATCCACCTGGATGCCCACCACGCGGATATAAGCGCTTCGGATGCCCACACCCACGTTGTCACGGCTTCTGTTCTTGCTCTGGGCAGACTTCTTGATGGAGTAGATGCCCATGATAGTGACTCTGTTCCCTGGGACAACTTTGTCACACAGGTACCTACGAGGAGGAAGAGGTAGCAGGGTAAAAGGATGGCACCAGCAACACCCGCTACAGCCCTGCAGGGTGAGGGTGCGAAGACCACGCTGGTACCTGTCGCAGTACAGCTGGAGGTGTCGAGGCATCTCCCCGTGCGGCACCGCGTCTGGGGACTCCTGCAGCTTCAGGACCTGGAAGTCCACACACTTGCACTTATCTGGCATTATGAAGTAGGGGTCCAGCGGGCACTTTGGGCGGCCGAGCGATGCCCAGCAGCTGAGAAGGGCAGCCACACAGGGCCGAACCAGAGGCTCACCAAGCCTTCTGCCTTGTCTTCAACAGCTGCCAAACGCAGGCGGGAGAACAAGCCAAAGACAGCGCAATGCTTGCGTGAATACTCTCCCTGCCTCCCCCCTCTCCCCTGCTGTTCATTACACCGAAGGCAACGGCATAGACTCAGCGACGCGGCAGGCCGTCCTGCTTTATAACCTCGTGCACGAAGCAAACGTTAAGTGGTTTCTGGTGAGAAAGCAATTAGCAACATGACAAGGCTGGCATCAACCTCCCAGTCTCTCGAGACGTATCTGCCCTGCCAGACTACAAGCTCCCCGAGACAAGGAGCACCTCCACGCCCTGCCGCCATCTCAGCACGTCGCTGCCGCCGCCCGACTCCACACAGGCAGGGACTTTCAGGGAGGGTGACACAGGAGGGCAGACGCACTCCTGCAGTCAAGCATCGGGAGCCAGGTGCCGTACAGACCACACGGAAGGATGATCCCTACCTCACAGGCCTCTCAAACCGCATCAGAGACAAGGCGCAGAAAATAAATACCAGCAGGCACGAGCTCAAAGACCCGACCCACCATGGCGCAAGAGCTGCCGCACAGCAGCAACCTAACGCTCACCGTAGGCATAGGCATCAAGGGCTGTAAAGCAGGACTTGCAGGTTATTAGCAACGCATCCCTACAGAAGGGAAGGCAAAGCAGCCCCCCAGGGAGGGGGAACACAGAAGCAAGAAGCTTGGGAAAGATAAGAAATCCACGGGGAGTCAGGACAGCAGCTTAACGCAGCATCGGGGGACTGCTGGAGGCAGGAAAGAACCTTTAGGTGCAACAGACAAAAGGCCCTACAGATAAAAAGAACCCCCCGGACACTGGCACTCAACCCTGCTTGCAGCACTGGTCATGCAGCACCACGACCATGAGCCAGCAGTGTGCCCGGGCTGCCAAGAAGGCCAATGGCATTCTGGGGTGCATTAGGAAGAGTGTGGCCAGCAGGTCGAGGGAGGTTCTCCTTCCCCTCTACACCACCCTAGTGAGGCCCCATCTGGAGTACTGTGTACAGTTCTGGGCTCCCCAGTTCAAGAAAGATGAGGAGCTACTGGAGAGAGTCCAGTGGAAGGCTAAGAGGATAGTGAGGGGACTGGAGCAT